TTGTAGTTTAGTACTGAGGAGTCCCACCAGTATCGTTGGTGTTGCCATCTGTATGCCCCATGTGCATGCGTACACGTTAACCTGCGTTTATAGGCATCAGCCACTTCTCTAGCCAGATAAACAAGCTGTTCAGATCTATCTAAAGTGTACGTGTATCCTCGTCACCTCTCATTTCCAGCCAAATTTTTGGATCTTCAGCGTAGAGAACCATAGGGGGCTTCGTTATATTCGGCAGCTGATTTATATGTGTGAAACAGCAGGGGAACCAGGGCTGTGCCTTGCGGCACTCCACTCTTTATTGACTTTCAAGAGGAGAGTTGAGAATTCGTCTTTACTCTTTGTCTCCTACCAACGAGGAACTCTCTTATCCATTCAAGCAGACTGTTGTTGATTCCAAAACTTTCCAGTTTTCCAAGCAACCTGGAATGAGGTGTCTTGTCGGACGCCCTAATAAAGTCTCTGAAAATGACATCTACAGGTATCCTATCATCTTTAGACTTAACCCAATTTTCTCTGACTGTGGGGTTTGTCAAGCAAGAGAAATTTCTGCGAAAGCCGTGCTGCGAAAGAGACAATAAAGTTTTGCTAAGTGGACTGTAATGGCTTTCTTGATTACTCTTTCTAGGATTTTCACCATAGTACTAGTCAAACTTATCGGTCTGTAATTTGATCAGTGCTGCCTAGAACCTGCCCTGTATATAAGCGTAACTATGACATCCCTCCAGTCATAGGGAGTGTGTCTCCACTGAGGGACAGTTTGAATAAAATAGTTAATGGGCCGGCTACATAGAGTGTAAGCTGTCTGAGCAGCCTTGGATGCAGTTCATCCGGTTCTTTTGATTTTTCTACATCGAGGGTACTCAATGTCCGAAACGCATCACTGTGATCGATATCCACAGAGTTTGTTCTGTTGGATATCAATGCTTCTACTGTTGTGTAAGTATCCACAAAAGATTCCTGTGTACAGACCTCAGCAAAATATCCAGCCATAGCTTCTGCTTTTTCTTTACCGTCTTCAATCAAACAGTTTCTGTCCCTTTGATTAGAGAGGGTATATCACTATACGTCTTATTCTTATTGTTTATATAAGAAAATAACCTTTGGGTGTTACAGTACAGCATGAGCAAGACGTTTCAAAGCATATTTGAGACCTGCAGACAGTAGCAATACATTTATTTTCGGCTTCTTTGTGGTGTTTCATCACCTCGGAACTACCGATGTAGGTGACAAGACTTCAACACACTTTCTTGCGTCGTAACATGATTCTGATTTCGTGGTTTACCCATAGATGACAGTGTTTCCGTCCCTTCGAAACAGCTGACGGAGTGAACGGTTAAGTCACTCCTGCATATGACTTTGAAGGATCACCATGCAGCCTTAACTAAGGCTTCTGGACTGACCGTCCAGTCCTCCAAAAAGGCTGCCAAGTTAATAGCTGCTATATTCGCCTTCTATACATTGGGTTCAGCTAAGCGTCGCCCTGGTGCAAGATGGCTGCTGTGAACTTGAAGAGGTTCATAGCGTGATCACTTTTACCAAGGAGCGCAAGGTGCCGGATAAAGCATACACTATCTGTGTACGAGAATATTAAGTCTAGAACTGGTGGAGCATGTTAATGATTGTATCTGACTGCTCCCCTAATGTGCTGTATAAGGACCTAAAAAATCGATATTTCCACTAATCTATGGTCAAACGAATTACGTGATGCTTCTGTTGTTAGTCTATCCAGTCAACTGGTAGCACGTTGAAGTCTCCTGCAACTAGGCATCGGCAGTTATCTGTCCAGAAGGTCAGCTTATTCAGGAAGATGTCTTCTGCCTCGTATTCAGGGCTCCGATATACTACGCTTATGTTGATATCTTGTCCCTTCTGTTTTAGTCGTCAGCGCAGGATTTCACATGCCCCATTTTCATATGCAACCTTTCTGATAGCTATTACAATTAAGGTATTCTTAACGTAAAGGATGGCACCACTACATCTGCGTGCTAACCCATCACTTCTAAAAGGAATGAATCCTTGTAAATGGTGTTTCACTGTCACTAATCTCAGAAGAGAGCCAAGTTTCTGAGAAAACAATGATGTCAGAACTTTCTATGCTCATTGCATTGCTAAGTTCAGTCCACTTGTTTAGGATACTACGTGTATTTTTATACAAGCCAATAAAACCACATAAATGAGTTTTCGTCCTATCCACCGAGGCTTTGGCATCATTATTTGCCGAAACTTCACTATACAAAAAACCACCAAGTTAGATCTTTCTCTCCCGTTTCTAATCTTGATCTCAGCCATTTGTCTGATTCTCGTTTTTTGATTTGGTTAGCAAGAGGCAAATCCTTATACACTCCAACCTACCATAAGCATTTTTACAACACTTTTCGTTCACCATAATGCAGAGACTGGAGATAAACTTGACATGTGAGTTAAAAGATGAAAAATTATTGGAAATCTTTTCAAAATGTATCAAAAAGACTGCTTACACTGAAAAACACAAACTATTTCTTCAAACCAGGAGGTTGGCTATAAGAAGTTCACCCAGAATATTTCGAATAAGACAAAAATACAATAGGCTTTGATGTGTAAACACCAAAAATGCCAAGAATCTAACTAAACCTGAAGTCACTTTCTTTTCTTCTGACTCTCATTCAGGAGCTTTATTAGACCATTTTCGTTCACGTAATAAACTATGCAAACAAAATTGGCTTACGGAACAAATAGCATGCGTAGACATATGCATATACATACCATTTATGAATTTGGAAAATAATGTAGTCTTACCGTCGGCAAAATTTAAGAATGTTAGTGCAATAAGCCAGCCAATATCTGAATTTATTGACAAGGTGTTGGCTGTGTTATCCATGACTCGGTCATCTAGTGTGGTGTTGAATAGTCTTATCCTCTTTGTTTCAGTGTGTACTTACCATTATGTTTTGGGTAAACTATTTCACATATGATCATATATGAGTATAAAGATTCTGCCTACTTGATTCGGTAAATTTATGAATGATTGCTTTTACTTTAGAGTGTTATAGGTTGTAGCCTTTTTATCTATGAAACGAATATGGTTACCAGCGGTTTAAGTAATTCTATTAGAATGTTTATGAAATAATCATATTCAGTCTTCGTCTTTCTGTACAGTGACTCAAGTTCTATAACTTCGCAGCTATTGACGTATTTTAAGACTAAGGAATTTATACATTTCTCTTCAACTTCAATTATTTCAAAATTCTCACACTACCTAAGATAACAATATTCTAAAATTTGTTGAACAAATGTTTCCCACCAGAGAATTCTGGATAAATTAGTATAGAATTCCTCAAATACAGAGTCTATCACCTGATGAAACTCAGAGGTTTGTCTGAATGTAGATGCATTTCTTTGATTTCATAACGACTGTAAGTGCTTAACTGGTTTTAAATTCATATTGCATGCATATCAGCTTTTGTACAGAAAAATTGAAATTCTTTGGATCTGTGAAGTTTCAGCCACCTTTTCAACAAGTAAATAATTCTTTTCATCCATAATGTATTAGGCAATCTAGCTGTAATTGTGTATTGTTTATGTAAGAATTTAGAACTAATGGATTAGTTTAGTCAGTGAGAGCGAGAAAAATAGCTTTTTTAATCGAGAGTATAACAAATAATCTTACCAACTAAGCATTTTATAAACTTCAGGATGTAAATTTGACCTGATAAAGTTGAGTAAGTTGAACGTTGGGTAAATGGATTATCAATGAGGTAGAAAAATAAATTTGACGTTTCGCGACTTCATGGAAATTACTTCTTCAGAGAGTAAAACCTATACACGCTACCGATTGTTTAAATAGTAAAACACTGATTCCCATTGTCTTGTGGAGCCCAACCAGACAGTCTACTTCGTCCCATACGACTCAGATCAACAGTAAGAGACTTTATCGACTGGTGCCAGGTTTTGGTCTGTCCACCCTAATTCAACTTCCCTTAGCATGACACATCGAGGTAGGCGGTGGCTCGCCATGTGCATTACACATGTCCAAGCCATCTCAGTCGACTAAGGTTGATAACCTCATGAATCGACATGCCGACCTGTCTTGCCTGGTACCCTTCTCCTGACCTCGAACATTGCTCACATGGTGAATTTTGCAAACGTGAGCAATGCTACAAAGACATCTATGATCAAACACTTGTAAACGCTACATTTCTTCTACTTTCAACGGTCATGTTTCACAGCCATTCAACAGAATAGAACGGACTGCAGCACAATGTGCTAGTCCTTTACTAGATAGTCGGATATCTCACCGGCATCACGGCAAGTTGGCAAATGTCAAAAGATCCTTCAGTATCCGAGCTTTAAAGTGTACATAAATTTAACGACAGCTAACATAATCCTCAGCTCAAGTCATTCTGAGCATCTGCACCCTCAGCTACAAATATTCACCACAAAGTGTAGGTTCACGGTCATTGTTTTGATATTTACTTTGCCTCATAACTGATAACGTTCCTATTCGAAATGAATATATCTCCTTACTTTTCCAATTTCACTTGTCGCTCCATGATCTTTTGAATATGCGTTCATTGAGTCGGAAAATAATAACTTGCACTGTAAGTATTTCTCAGTCTAGCGTATCACAAACGTGACTCATTGTTATCCAAAAGTTCACTTATGCTCCGTAGATCGCTCTAGCTACTCATAAAGTTTTTCAAATTAATCAAAGCTAAAAAAATTACAAATGCCATAACATTTCTGAAAAGGACGTTTGTGTAGCTGACCGATGTAGTTAGTTTTAAATATTACTATATAGTAAATAGCTTATTTAATAATGAAGCTTTTGTTTTATTAATGTTGTTACTCAACACCAGTGAATAATATGTTACTTCTCTGTATTGCCTTCTCTTTTAGTCCTTATTTCCTACACCTTTTGTGATACTTGATTGAACTAATTGGTTTTCCTTGCTTCATTCTAGGTATATTAACTTTTGCAAAATATTAATTGAAGATTGCAAAATATTTTTGATCTGAACTAAATGTCTTATTGTCCGGTTCGAGTTAGTTCACATGCTGGAAGCTGGTATTCATCAGATGGTTTCAAACATTTTATTAATCTTTAACTATAATCATCAGATATACAGTTGTCATTACAGCTAGAAAATTGGTTAGAAAGTTGTGAAGTTACTGTTCCTGATCTATGCTCCATTCGAGCTCTTATAGTTCCGTATGACATATGTAACACTATTTATTATATTAGTCATGCAGGATATCGACACTCTGGTTTATGTGCAGCTCATGCATATCGTCAGATAAGAGCAGAAAAAGTGTATTCAAAACTTATATTTTACATATTTCTAAAGAGAACGTATTTTTATCATAGGCCCATCACATCATTTGGATATTGGAGATACATGTGCACTAACATGTGCATTAGAATATGAAACTCCCTTTTATAACTTAAAAATTGATATTGATAGTGAGTAAGATTAGTTTTGAACAACTTTGCTTATAGTATACAATGACTTAAAAAAACACAAATGCTTTAGCATTCTCAATAAGAAACAAGATGAAGCTGAACATTCTGTGGAAATGCAACTACCTTATATTGCGCATATCATGAAAAGGTAAGTATTTCTCAAATTATTTTTCACATTTCTATAACTACTATACAAGGTATTGTTGTTGGTTTGTGCGAGGTCTAGAATAAATGTCCGATTCGTTACGTATAATCAAATAGTAGATTGTATATCCATTTATGTATAAGAACTACTCGGCAGTTTTTATGCTTTATGCACACTACCGAAACATTCCTCCTGAATGTGTGAAACTTCTTGTTTGGAAAACAAAAAATGTCACAGATTACAAAGCAATATTCACTGTCTTTGATAGTGAGTTCCATATCTCAGTTCAAGGAGTCAAATGTCAACTTCAGATCAAGAAATATGACAAGTATTGGGCTCTGTTAAGTTTACCTGTCAGTAAATGAAGATCTGATCAACTCACTCTTATCTAGGTTTGAAACTTGTATGTTCCCGAATTTGTTTTCATGCTTAGGTTAGGCGTCTCATAAAGACGAACTCAAGGATCGCAGATGTCATGTCAGTCACTCTGACCCCCTTGTGGTTGTCACATGAAGATTTAAATAGTCATTGATATAGATTATACTGATGAAGTTATCTCTTATTCACGCACACTAATTATCTCCTTTACTCTATGTCCACACTTAACAAATTCTGGTGACGATCCATCGATTTTTGCTGCTTCGTATCATCCGAGCTTTGAAATATTCGCAACTTTAGTAAAAGTTGAAGGACCATCATTCACAACCTATTCAAATTGTTCCGACCGATTTTCTAACCATCTCTGCTAAAAGGTTATCAGGGATTCATCCTTTTCAGTGATGCTTTCACTAACCTTGGTCTTCTTTCAGTCAATATCCTTGATGAGTCTAAATAGTTTACTTAGTGTTGCCTAGTGTTAATACCTTTCCCGTCACTTTCGCCACTGCTCTTCGTCGTTACGAAGACACGTTTGACCTTCTGCTCTTCGTGGGGTCCTAGCCAGTGGAGACGACACCTCTCTTACCAATCAGTTCGCATGAGGCTATGGAAATTCACTAGTTCTTGCTAACTTTGGGATTTAGGTTACCAACTATTTTTACTACTGTTTTTACAACTTACTGAATATCATACTAGATTTCATTAGGAATAAAATTACTGCCACATTCAGATAAATGTTTAGCTGTCTGTTACCTAAATAGATACTTGAGATTCATATCTTTCTACCAAACGTGACAAAAGTTCATTTTTGTTCCCTGAATTCATCAAGGTGTAAACATAGATATACTCTTACTAGTGCATTGTCAGAATCATGCCATAGCAGCGATTCTCCACAAATCTATGTTCACCGTTGGTTTAGTATCGGCGGACGCTATGTAATTCAGTGTCTCTCCTTCTACTTCAAGTTAGTGCTGGTGAAAAACAAATGACTGTTAGAAAAAGACCGTAAGATACGATTGCTATTGTCGATTCGTTCGCACAAGATTCCACAGATAGCTCTGAGATGCCTTTCCGATTGACTCAGCTTCTGTACCTCAAGGTTGAAATCGTGTGCTACTAAGATTATATTTGAACAATTTGGTTTATACATTGAAATTGACTACTTTTGATAGATATCATCCAAAGTGCTGTTGGTAGGTGTATAGACAGAGATTCTGAGTAGATATCGGCTAGTTTCAGGGTCCTTACCAATCGCTGCAGTTCTATCCAGTCAAACAATTCATAAACGGTTATTGACTGGTATCCAGTCGTGAAGTGAACTTTCATCTAAAGAACTTAATGCAAAGCCTACACCACCTAGTCCATGGGAGTTAGGCATTAAATCTCCAGCCATTCATGAGGTGAATTTTGTAGATATACTGCTTTTGCAAGATGAGCTCGAGTAAATAGCCATACTTGGGTCCTGTATACGTGTCTCAAAAGCACAACATTGGTTCGAGATTTCAGTTTTGATGAGAGATGCCTGAGGTCTTATTTAGCAAAGATTTTAGAAGTTAAAAACTAATGTGAAATCAATGACTTGTTTCTAGGGAACTAAGAATAATGTTTTATTGACGTTGATGGTTAACAGTGGTCTCAGAGTAAAGAAGATAAGTTGTGGTTCGTTGGGTGATAACTGTCCCTTAGATGTAGTAAGTGCATTTACTCGACCTAAACGTGCCTTTTCCACTTTTATTGTCATGAAATGAAGGATATTGCTTGTAAATTTGAATCAGTAATTATTAATCACACTGATGATTGCATTTTTCTGCACTATGTTATTTTTCTCCGATAAATTCTTATTTTTTCTTAGAACAATAGTTGTTATGAGGCTATACTTTTAGAAGTAAAAAAAACTTAGCCTTTTTCAAATCCTTTATTTGATAGGTAATATCAACAAGCTCTTCTGTTTACTGCTCCTAGTTACAGTAGTGGATAAATAGTATAGTCAGTATTCTGTTACGAATTAAGGTCGATGCGTTAATAAGACACCTAGTAATTATTATTGATTTTTAGTATAGAAACTATTCTGATCAGGATCTATACATATTCTTTTCTCATTAAACTTTATTATAGTCATGTATAGTGTGTCAATAAACATTATTTCCAGCGGTGTTAAATTTCTTAGAATGACCTTCTTGTTTTATTAATCTATCGAAATGTTGTTTAATTGATTCCGTTTTAGGGTTCTACAATTGTATTAAACTCTGTTTTGATCATATCCTGTGTCCAGAGTTAAACTCGAATAGAAATCTTTTCTTAATACTGTCAGTTCAACTTCTGCTTCCTAACTTGTAATGGTTTATGAATAGTAGTTCCATAGTAGGATAATGTTGAATGAAAACATGAATTCCAATATGCTTTTTGAGACTGAATCTCCAGCTATCTTTTCACATCCTCCCTTTAAAAGATTAGTTGGTGTTAGAAATCCATTTTGCCAATCACTGTAGTAGACAGTAATATCTCAATAGACTACCTACCTACACACCTCAAGATTTAGTCTTGGAAACTAACGAAGAAAATTCTCATTTCGACGATCCCATTTACTCAAAATGTACTATTATATTCAACTGGTTCGTCTGTACGTAGACGAATCATTGGTAATACGGAACTGTAAACTTGATATTTGAGTTCAAAAGTATGATGTGCACTTATTCATCTAACCTTTCTATTCTATTCCTGGACATTATAGTAATCTTGTATCCCTATTGATTTGACAACAGACTGTTATTTATTTTCAACGATCTTCAATACTACTATAGTTAGGGAAAAACTTTTCTTCGCTGTTACGTCTTTGTTTCACTACTTAATAAAGAAATTCTCCATTCGTAGACGACTTTGTAAACACGGGACGTATCACAGTGCTCAACGGGATGCATAGTGAGTTGTTAGCAAAAATAGTTACACAGCTTATAATCTATCTATTAAATCTCATGAGATTTCCCTTCATGCATCCTTCACATCGGTTGTTACTCGTTAATCACGTATTCTAGTAACTTTTTGGAGTTTACCTCAATGTATCTTTCAGTTCGTTTCAAATCACTTGAAGTCCTAACCTTAGTGTACTTTACTTTCATTAAGAATTTAGGCAAACTATTTTCGACGAGTACAAGCAGAGAATTAATAGTATAGCCGGCTAAATTACCAGTTTAGGATTATTTAGTCCAATTCAATCTAAACATTCCAGAAGTGATGTCAGCCTTTTCAACTTACAGCTTTCTGCATCGATGCTTATAAGTATCTTTTCAACGATGTCACTCTCTTCACTTTATATGTACATTCATATGAAAGGTTGCGTCATCCCTAGTGGACTGGTTGTAGGTGGAATTTCAGCTCGAGGAAAAAAAGACCCTTTTGGTATGCTACTTATGAAATCGGTGGCGTATCCGACTAGTCAAACGTCCAGTATAATGTACAATAGTCTACTTTGTCCTCTTTTATGACTGAAGTATAGTCGATGAAAGTAGAAGACAGTTTTTGTCAACTATGTTTTTGCAACATTGCTTGAGTATGACGGAAATACTGCTTGACAATTGTTGGAGTTTGGCGTAAAGTAGTGCTAAGTGAGGAAGGCAGGTCAGTTGATGACGTTGTGAACCTACACCGACTGAGGTGGCTTGCCCCAAGAAGAACTACTCGACCGAAGAAGGACAAGGTTATAAGAAAGGTAAGTATGAGTAAATCAGGACGTGGCACCAGTTCATAAAGCCTCTGATTGTTTATCTGAGCCTTGTAGGAAGGTGTATGTTGCTTAACCAGGATCCTTGAAGTGATAAAACTCAGTGGTTGAAGACTCCTGGTTCCAAACTGTTCGCAGTGCATACGGTCCCTTTTATCGAAATGTCCAACATTCTTATTTATTCTCTCTCCTTGTATACACTTTTAGCGACTTTAATAGTTTGCTTCTTCACTTTACTTGTTCTTTCCATGCTCCTATGAACTGCGACGAAACGATTTACTTCTGTGAAGTTCCAAGTTGATTTATCTCTTTGTCATGACCAATAATCGGATCACCTGTGTCCAACACTAGGTAGCAAGTTCAAATTGTCTCAATCTGTTAGTAAAGTTACTGTTGACTGAAATCAAGTAACTATTAAAGCGCAATTCATACTCTCTACAGCCATTGAAATCCTTTTTATAGTAGGCTTGAAAAGTCATACTCGATAGCGCCTGGAGTGTGGTTATCGTAGGTCTAAGTATGCAACGATGTATCTCAGTAAAATAAACTGCTAGTAAATCTTTTGTTACTATTTGGCTGCCTGAACCGATATCCAAACATCACAGGATTTCTTGGTGCCCATTGGGTAGTCTTTATGTATGCTAAGTGATAAGTAAACAAACCTGCTCGTGTGTAAATGTGTTGAGTACCTTCTGTTGTATAAATGATACTAATATTGTCAGTCACACAAATCATGCTTATTCCAACTTTTTTTTCAAGTCGTAAGGATCAATACTCTATAGTACCGATTGTGGTTGGTTGTTTATCGTTTGAAAGACAAGAATTCTTTGGGAACCTCCTATCGCACTATCTCGAGGATGAAAGGAATCTTTTTGTTATATCTTCAGATTTCTGTCATTGGGGTATGTTCTGATATTTTAAAGTATTTTTCACATGATATTATTTCTCTATGCAGTAAAACCAACAAACATTACATTTATAAGTAAACAGAATTAAGTCGGCCTAGAGAAGTGCGAGAACAAGAGTTTCTCGAGGAGCGATCCTTGGGCCATTCTTGTTTTTAATATTCATAAATGACCTCCCCGTTTAAATCTCCTTGTCTCCCCCCCCCCTCCTATTTGCCGACGACATCAAAATATGGAGGACAATAGGTAGGGAAAAGGATCCTAGGACACTGCAATTGGAGTCCTGGTCAGCTGAAAATGGTTTGAGCTTTAACCTGGAGAATTGCAAAGTGATGTATCTTCGTACACTGGGGACGATGCAAACTAGCTAAACCTTCAGCAAGTCCACAAACACCAGGGTATCCACAGAAAAGGACCTAGGACTTAAATTTTCTGACACACTAGCGCTAACTATAAGGGAATGGCAGCAAAGATGAACACTATCATGCACTTTCTAAGAGGGCAGCTTGGAGCCCTAACCCCTAAACTATTTCTCATAGCATTAAAAACCGATGTTAGACGACACTTGGAGGTGTTCAACGCAAGTACTCTCGATAACGTCAATTTTCAGACTAACAGGTAAAACATGTGCCCAACGCCTTAGAATACTCAACTTGCTCATATTAAGCTACCGAAGGAAAAGAGGCGACCTAATAACAACCTACAAGATCACCCACTGGTCCAAAACCGACAGTCTCATGGAAACCCTATACGGAATGTGTCCTTTATAGAACTCTCTGCCGAAAGAAGTAGCCACATCAGTTAATTCCCTCAAAAAACTGCTCGATAAGTACGTGAGCTCAATCTGCTTGCCACGAATATTTGCCGGTAGCAACTAAAGGTATGCTTATCCATTTGTTTTCCCCAACCCTACTACCTGCAGTAAGACCCATACTAGTAACACTTATTTCCCATAATTACTTTTCACTCCTCTGTTGTCACTACGTACTACCCTACTTCTCGTACTACTTTTTAAATAACCCAAAGTATTTACCCACAGGTGCTCACGAAAACATGAATTACAAGAGGTTAATTAGTCTTATCAGGTGCTTCGTTCCTCCCTCGAAAACAGACCAAGCCACAATTTGTGGGAAAAATACCTTCAGATAGACAATCACTACCTTCTAAGCTATAAGCAGGTAAGCTGTAGAGACTTCTGCAATCATCGAAGGAGTATAACCGAATACAAAGAACCGAACTTCAAGAACTAAAAGCAAGAGTTAAAAACCTTAGGTTTTCTCTACTTGCAAGATTGATGTTGAACTCGACTAACGATTCTGTTATATTTGATCTGAAAAGTGGCTGTCAACAATTCCTTCTTTCAACTATAAATAACAGGTAACAGGACTATTGGATGTATACAACACCTGGATTCCTAATCTTCACCTATAAGAAGATGAACACCAGTATTCCCTTTGAGCAGTAGCACGTTGATTTACGGAGTCGACTTCCAACAAGTGGGTCATGTGTTCGAAAATTGCTTCACCTACTGAAGCTTGGTTAGTCATGTAGTATTATTATCCTTCACAAAATAAGTGTGGCTCACTGCCTACTGCACAGATGTGCACAATGTTGCTGAGTACATTTTGATTCAGATTTTAATTTCTGTAACCCACCTAATGAGCACAATTATTTCGCTTATAGAAATCGAAGTTATCATAGTAATGCATCTATGTATGTCAGTGTATTTCTTGATTGATAAAGCGAAAATGAACAGGCAAACAGGAAAGAAACACTTTATGTATGAAACTAATTAGGATTGAATTGAAAGGAAGGTAGAGGCTGAGTGGAGTTTCTATACAAGTCACACACAACTATGTAGCTAAATATTTCTGGTTATCAGCTTGTATGCTGAAGACTAGTTATAACGTATGTGCAGATGAATTTATTAGCCTACTCGAACTAAGATTTCTGTTTGAAGAAAGATGGAACTGAATGCGGACTATACATGATGGAACCTAGTCGATATGAAATCATTTTGCTTTTATCGTTTTGTAAGCTTTCTACATAAGAACAGTACTGCAAAGACACCGCGTGTAGGATCTCATACTATGTATTCAGTATTAAGTGCTTACAGTAGGGATATCTGGTTAACGATAGATATGATATAGGTTATTATGTGCTGTTTCGTATAGTTAACCGATTACAACTCATGCGAAACAAGTAGATAAAATTAACGTTGAACCTCGCATACAAATGTATCAGCTCAAGGTGCCACACTGATGTAGAACGACTTGTATGTTCATCACCTCGTCTCCACAAGCACAATTAGTACAAGTGCACAACGACACCCTGAAATTTATGCTTTGGATTTGCTTTATGGTAGTACGTTAAAATCATGTATAAGAAGTCAGAGGCTATGTTCAAAAAGGGTGTGTGATAACACTACCTATTAAGGTGAAAGTGGTAGACACTTGATGACTGACTCAAGTACCTTAGTGGTTTTGAGCAACGTTTTGATTGTAATACGTCTACGGTGTTTAACTACTACGATACCATGTTCTTTTGAAATCCATTGGTTAGTGACTGGAAAGTTACCAGTCTCATGCTTTTTACTCCTGGGTGCTGACCGAATTCTGTCGATCATTTTGTAATGTAGCCATATAGTTAGAAGACTTGCTACCGTGGCACACTTTAGTAAATGTTGGTTGAAGGTAATCCACAGGAAGTTCTATCTCACTTGTTGGCACTCATCAACGAGGTTGATCGTATCTAACTTATATCCTAGAATCTGATGAACACCATAAATATGACCAGTTATCCACTGTAATAGTGGATAATTCCACATCGATGATTTTTTCAGCAGAATTTATTTTTCACATTATCTTTTGATATCAAGGAGAATATTCGACAAATAAAACTAATATTGAAGTCTTTGTATAATTATTCTCAACTGGTAGACATATATCCAAATCTTATTCCCTGATCATAGAGAATGCATAGTCACTCTAATTTTTTTGCAGTTGCCGTGAAGAGAATCATCTCCACTTTTATAAAACTACAATGGAAGCCTAACTGGAACATTTTCATATGGAATTTTATTTAGTCTAACCACCAGGTTTAAGTTACTCATCAAAAGATTTCGTCCAGTAGAACTCTTCAATATCTGTCTGTTATTGCTCTTATGTTATATCCACATCGTCATGTAAACAACCTAGCCAGCTTCCTCTGTTCTGTTATACAACTGACAACTGTTGAAAGTAACAGATATTTAATCGTCAACATACGTTTAAAGTGTTACTACTAAGCAACCATTGAGTAATCAAATAAAGAGTAAAACAGCTTGTCAACATTTATCGGTGGAGATAGTTGGAACATGTTTGGAATAAAATACATCTTCTTGTGGTAATATTGAAGGGCAATTTCAATGATTTTTTTGTTTAAATACTTCTAAGTGCATTCCCCCCGATTTTGGTACAGTAAAAATCAAATCAATTAACGCATAATGGAATAGATCAGTTCTCCTATCGATAGTAGAATGTTTGGTTTATTGTACATTCAAGATTCTCATTTCTCACCAACTGCGGTTCAAAAAATTATCCTCCTTGGATATCTCTCATGAGTAAAGCGTACATCTTTCACATCATTTCTTGCATTGTATGACAACTTAGAAGTAATCAATTCAGGAATAGTGTTTCAGACAGAATATACTGTCAAATACTTGTAACATTTCTTACCGATTTCACCCCCCCCCCCCCCCCCAAGGTATGAACGAATGAAAACTGACTGTTCTGTGATTTGAGCAGATAGTCATCCTAAATATAACAAAGAATTCTACAGTTCTCTTTCTTTCTTGAAAATATATCCTGATTAAAAGAATTGTTTATCATTAATGCAGAAAATAAGAGACGTTATACATCAGTTCCTGGTGATGATTACGGGGAAACTAAAAATTTGGATCACGGCAGGATTCGAACCAACGATCACCGGATCGACCAGGTGCTTTACCAACTGCCATGTGAATTCGTGACGCATGTCTATCATCACTTGACCGTACTCACACTAGCTGCCTAGTCAAAACTTTTCATCTCAACTCAAATCTACTTGAAAGAGGTGTAATATAGTCAGTTGCTCAGTGATAATTAATTTCAAATAGTTAGTAGTAATTGATTAAATTAGTGACACAAATGATATCATCACTATCCGATGAACTGACTAAATGAATGTTTAATTTTCAGGGAAGCGCTTTCGATATCAGTATTACAATAAATCTGACGGTGAGATATGGCAGTCTATTACGAAGATGGATCATTTTGTAAGTATGCTTACTTTTTGAATTGTTTGTCTACTTTTTGTTTTACACTATCTGTTATCTGTTTTGTAATCTAGTTTATTCTATTCTTATAGGGTTTAGACGCAATACAAAGTCTTGAACCTACAAAATTTGTAGACTACCTTAAAGAATATAATAATACAATATGTGGCAGAAGAGGAATAGGTATACTGTTATATATGGTTGCCGCAATTCGTCAAAGAAAATCACCTAATATGCAACTTAAAATTCTACATTATACTCAATCTAATCGTTGCCAGTCAATAGAAGATTCATCAGTAAGTTACGCTGCATGTGCTTTAATTAATAGGAACTAAATAAATAAAGCAACTTTAAATGGATTATTTTACATCAAATAAATAAATGAATTATTCCTAAATTATTATTTTGTTTCCATTGAATACAAACCTTAATTTTGTGATGTTCATCTTCATAAAGGATATGAAAACAATGAGATATATGTTGTATCAAGAGATCTGAAGAACACCAGCTGCATAACTCACAGATGATTGATTCATATTATGACAGTGTTCTGATTGTGCATATTGAATAAATTTCATATTGAATTGACTATTCGGCATATTCATACGTAAAGTTGCCACACTCTGCAATAATACACCAATAGGATGTCGTCCACATATAGTATTTCCATAACGTTCTAAGTAATCAGTAAATTCTGAAGGAATAAGTCGTTCAATTATTTGCATACCCTTAAATTTTATAAGATGAATAAATAATACAACACAAAATACCATTGAAGTAAGAAATTAAAATATTCAAAGGGGATGAGATATATAATATCAACTAAAGATCAAACTAAAATGAATTTACTTATAGTAATGATGAGGAGCAGTGGCTAGCAGTGGAATCTAGGATGCGCATTCCGTTCTATTTCGGACTCGTCAGCTGGATGTACCTGCCGGTTCCCAGTGAGTGATGTTGTTCCCACCGGGACTCGGGGGCGGTTGTTCCAAACGCCAGAGCGTTATCCGCTACACCACCCATCCACTTCTTGTGAGACGGATATAGTTTCAGTGTTATTGCTTGTATGACACCGTCGTTGACTGGACTGAATTGATCAGTCTCTGTTGGCGTACGGGTGGATGCCTTGATATTGCCTGTGTTTTAATTATGTATAATAATGATGGGCAGTGGCTAGCAGTGGAATCCAGGATGCGCATTTACTATTAGTAATAAAGTGGTGGAATAAATAATTACTCATTTCTGGTGAAATATAAACGTACTTCTTTACAAAGAGTATCCAGTCTTTTTCTTTACTTTTTCTCCGATACTTCTTTGAATCGTGGCAAAGTTAATGAAAACCTAATAAATACTCGAAGTTAACATTTACACTGACTAGAAGATAACTAAAATCAACCTAGGATCTACTACAAAAGTGCGCTGGTTCAACTTGCAATAATTTACAGTAGTATACAGAGAATAAGTGGATACAGGAAGACTTATAACAAAATAGACAGGTGTCAGAGAGAACACGCAATAACCTTTATCTTCAGATTGACTAATCTCTCACACAACTTTGTTCACTTTCATATCACTATTATTCTATCCACCCGTCTTTGTATACCACTGTGAAGTGTGACAACATAAATGCTTCCATGTCTGTCTGAATCCCGGTGTCCATGTTGTACCACTTATTATACAATAAAAAGAAAGAAATCTGTACTTTAGGACAAGATCAAAAGCTATCAGTATAACTCATCTTTTTGTGACAGCCACCACATATGATCTTATCTCATCCATTGAAATATGCATCTAAGAAGCAGCGAATATTGATGTGATGTTGATCTAGAGTGTTTAAGGATTATTTCGGTCTACTTACAATATACTGTGATCGTTATGTGTTTTTAGGTGCATAGATCTAATTCCACGATAGGTACTGATAGTCTGATTCGGTGTCTTATGTGCCTTGCTTAATATAAGGGTGAATCAGTTGACGTTGTTTGAATCGATTTGACGCTTTTGATTTCATGTTCTTAACTGGCACCAGACATTGACTGTGACCCCTTGTTTTTGTAGTGGAGCTGTAGCTCACTGATCTAGGCCCTTGATTACCAACCGATGAGTCTGAGGTTTGAACTCCACCTCTACCTACCGAGGTTTTGACAGCCGGTTAGTAGTATCATTAACCCTCACACAATAGGTGTGGCCCATCGCCTACTGCGCCAATGTGTTGAAGACTGCTGAGTGGATTTCGATCCTTAGATCTTTTCTTTTTTTAATGTTTGGGTCTTAATCGCTCTCGACACCCTCCAGTGTTGGTGTTACATTCTCGATTTCACATAGTTTCCTTAGAATTCCAATTATTAGTTACTCATGAAATTCATACTTTTCACATAACTACGGACTCAGCAGGTATCAGGCTAAAATTCAGTTACAGAAAAGTGCTGAGACTGTTAAGTGTAATGCTAGTGTGGAATGAGAGTAGAATTGTTATTTTAGATTCCTGCAGTTTCTTCATTATTCTCAGCCAAGTATCTCAGCTTCCTTTGATGGTGTATTGGTGACCCTGAAAAATCACATTTAAAACTGTCAGTAATGTTCATGTTGTCATATCTCACGTCATGTTCGTCAAATGTAACGCTTCACATTCATCGTGGTCAACGAGAGTAGTAAGCGCTTTATTACAACACTTGTTTTTAATACATTCTCAACTAATGCGTATCTTGCTTTATCATTTATCACACCTATAACGTGACTTTTTACTTTAAACAGTAGTGTTTTAATACAACCGTGGTAATTTAGGAAAAGCTAACTTCATTATGAAAACTCAGGTGTGTTGACAGACAAAATCAACGTAGAATCTCGCACACAAGTGCACCCGCTCAAGCAGTATACAAAACAGGTGGATAGAATAGGAGTGTTATCAAAGCGGACAAGGTTGTGTGAGGGAATAAACAATTTGAAGGTAGAGGTTAGTGTGAATATTCAAGTTTCGGAGGATTTCAATGAGTGAATACATCTGTGCCACTAACACCGATTTCCAGCCCTGTGTCACCAACAATCTGCAACTCTTGATTCATATGAAGATGCCAGCCAAATAGTCTACAGCTCCCTGTATAGCTGAGACCAACGGTCAGAGACTGCATTGACTGGTGCCACGTCTTGATTTGACCATCCTTAACCATCTTCCAACCTAATCCAACATTCCTTAGCATGGCACGTCGAAGTAGGCGGTGACTCGACATGCGCGATATATATCGAAGCCGTCTCAGTCGACTAAGGTTCACAGCTTCACTGGTCAACATGGCTGTCTTGTCTAGTACCACTCGCCTGACGTCAACATTACTCACGCAGTGAATCCACCAAACGTGAGCAATGTTCCGAGGACACCTGTGATGAAAATTCTGATCTCTTCATTTCTACTTTTAACGGCCATGTCTCATAGTTGTATAACAGGGATAACAAACTGCAGAGCGGTATACTCGTCCTTCAATAAATATTCGAATCTCTGCAGTTAGCGCCACAGACGACGCAAGTTGACAAATGTCAAGTGATCCTTCTTTATTCGAACTTAAGTTACGTCAGTAACCAGCCTGTTTGAACTGATGCAACTCCTCTTGTAAGTGAAGTGGTCGACGCATTCGCCCACTTCATTCAGTTTGTAACTAAACTGATCTCTTTTAGCCAATTCCTAGATGTATATAAGATGATATTACACGCAAAATTCTCAGGCACTTATTACATTCAGTTTTTTAACTTTATTTCGACAAACTCCAAAATTTGATGAAAACGGAACAGCTTACCGTTTCATCAAGTGCTTGAATAGATTGCCAGATTGCTCCTTTGTTCTGATCGTAGTATGTGTACTGAAATCTTTTCCCTATAGATAAAAAAACATACCAATAATTACAAAGAGAATGACGAAATATTTCGTGTATGTTTAACTTCTTTTTAGTCAAACTAACTGATTTAACAATAGACGCTTAAAGGTTCGTCAAGTATGAAGGGAGTCCTGCTGTTGAACAATGGGATTCAATTAGTCTTTGTAATAAATTTTAACGGTGCAAAACACGCTACTACTCTAAGAAACGTCCTTCATCAATAAATTCCTACACTGATTTCGTCAATACATGTTACGGTGCTCCTCTTCAACCCACAAAAATCCACTTTCCAAAACGGCTAGTAAACACATGTGACATAATAGCGACATCTCAATTCCCATGAGACTTGAAGATCCCAAACAAGCATGTAAACCATCTAACAGCACTTTCTTCCCAATTATCATGTAACTATCGAAATTATAATTACAAAACGTAAATTCCCCGAAACAATCTAATTCCATCTTACATTTTATCATATGATAACCAGCATAAAGTCAAACTATTAACTGCTCCATGATGTGCCTACCATAAATAAATGCTGATAATCATATCAATATACTCACACAACCTTAGACATTTGCTTTCTATAGGCCTAATGAAAGAAAAGGGCAAAGAGTGAATCGAAGAAGGATTCTTTATCATGAAAATTTATACATTACCAATAAAATATTATAACCTCCCATTAAAATATCAATTTGCACAATATATTCAAGTCCACCTTCTTCTTCTATCTCGTCCTGCTATTGTGACGGCCACGTCATCTTTTGTGCTTCTCTGAGCAGAATATTTGTCCATCGCTCGTAATTGCCTATGACTTCTTCCAACCGCTCAACATATGCTGCTTAAATGAATTTCTTTCTATCAGTGGTACCCTCTACACTAGCAGCTCATATTTCCTGCTTTTAGCGGTAGTTAAAGTCTGCATATCTCTGTTATTGGAATACGAATAAATGATTGGGAGATTGTGTGTCTAATAGATACGGGGGCGGCAGTCTCGCTGATAGATAAGAGTTAGGCTCAGAACATAAGACCATGTGCGCTAACGGTCTACACTGTTGGTGGACATGCATTAGAAATTGCACGCTTGACAGTTTGTCATCGAGATCGGAAGTCAGAAAATTAGATTTCTATTCACTGTTACCATGCGTCTACAACGGACAATCCTAGGTGCTGATTTTTTGAGAGAAGTGGGTGCAGTTATTAACATCAGAATAGGAATAGTGGTTATAAAGTACGGATCGTTCACTATGCATGAAAACAGCGAGGTGGCAGAGGTTGAGGTATCAAACCAAACATCATGAAGTTGATTAAAAAATACGAGGGATCGTTCACTAAAAAAGATGGAGACCCTTACGGGTACTGTGACAAGGTTAGGCATGAAATTCCAGGGACAAGTCAAGGAATGGCAACATTTATAACACGTTGAATACCATGCTACTTAGAAGAAGTTGGGAGCCAGGTTCAAGAAGTGCTAAATAAAGGCATTATTGAAGAGGCCGATAACCCATACAGTTCACCAGTGCTTTCAGTAAAAGCGTCCAGTAGGAAATATAGATTTTGTGTTGGTTTCCGAGAGCTAAATACCATAACGAAACAGAAGCCTTGTACCATGCCAACAGTAGCTGAAACACTGAATCGTCTGCAGAATGCAAAATTATTTACAGTTCTAGACCTCCCGTCAGGCTACTAGCAGTTACCGATAAAAGAAGGTGATAGAGAGAAAACAGCATTCATTGTCGGGAAGAAGCAATACCAATTCAAACGAATGCCATTTGGTCTTGCAGGCGCATCATTTATATCCAGACGGTTGATGTTCCTGAAGAATTTAAAGAACGTGGAGGTGTATGGTGACGACCTGGTGGTGTACAGTTAGACGGGACCCGAACATCTAGAACACATGGAAGCTGTTTTAAGACGCATTGATGAGTTTGGACTTTATATCAATAGGACAAAATCTCAAATATCCAAAAAGCGTGTCACATTACTAAGACATAAAGTTGGAAACGGAGAAATTAAACCATTACCTGAGGAAATTCTGACAGTTAAAAGCATTCCAGTGCCGAATTCAAAGAGAAAACTGTGACATATCTTAGGTAGAGCAGGATTCTGCAGTCGGTTCCGCAAAAATTTCAACGAGATAGCAGCACCTTTATACAAGCTACTTGGTAACCCCAAATTTGGGTGGACAAAGGAGGCACAGAAAACGTTTGATGACATTAAGGAGCTCCTAAGTGACCGGCAGATGACTTTAAAACTACCAGTACCCGGAAAGCCATTCATTGTGTACACCGATGCGAGTGATTATGGAATAGGCACAGTTTTCAGACAGACTGAAAGGGTGGTGGAGTACACCAGCCGTGTTGACACCTGCAAAACAGAACTGTTCAACGATTGAAAAGGAATATCTGGCGATAGTTTGGGGGCTTGATTAGTGGAGATCGTACCTCCTCGGTCAACGACTCCATATTGAAACTGATCATAAATCTCTGCAGAGGACAACGAGAGAACTTAGAGAAAAATTGTCACGTTGGATGTTACGACCGTAAGAGAATGATTTCACAATCGGTCATATTTCAGGGAAATAAAATTGATTGACAGACTTCTTATCGAGATCAGGAGAAGAAAATGAACTATCTGGGGTGTAAATGCAGTAGAACAGGACCTATTGAGACTTACTCGCCTTCAAAAGTCGGACCGCACACTTAAGGTAGTGGATAAAAGCCATAAATGAAGGAACGGATACAAACAAGTCTGTGGGAATTAAAGAGTTGAAAACGTTGTTACCTCAGAAACAACCCCTAAGTGTTCTAACTTGGCGAGAAAACGATGGGGGCAGGATGGCATTGATTCGGAAACGCCTATGCAACGACATGATACAAGTATGCAGAAAGGAACGGAAACAGGCAGTCAGAAATGTAGAACAGAGCAGAGAAAAGTAAGTAAATGGAAACTGTTCAAGGTCGGAGGTCAAATGAAATGTAGAGAGCGAGGATGTACTTCAAAAGGCAAATATGTTTCAAGAAAACTGCCGAAGTGGGAAAGACCATACATAGCTACCGTGAGACGCTGTTCAGTTTACACCATCAGAAAAGGGGACAAAGAGAAAAGAGTAAAGGCCAGCCTACTTCAAAAATGAATACGGTGGGAAAAAGAAGAAGCTTTAAATGAACACTACAGGAAGACAGCGCCATGGCGATCAGCACAACTGCAAGTCCGAATTTTTGACGGGGTGACAAGTGTGTAGTGGGTGCTACTGATAAGAAGTAGTATATGTTGAGAGGTCGGAAGGAGTTATAGGCAATTACGAGCGATGGACAAATATTCTGCTCAGAGAAGCACAAAAGATGACGTGGCCGTCACAATAGCAGGACGAGATAGAAGAAGAAGGTGGACTTGAATATATTGTGCAAATTGATATTTTAATGGGAGGTTATAATATTTTATCATTAATGTACAAATTGTCATGATAAAGAATCCTTCTTCTATTCACTCTTTGCCCTTTTCTTTCATTAGGCCTATAGAAAGCAAATGTCTAAGGTTGTGTGAGTATATTGATATGATTATTAGCATTTATTTATGCTCGAATTCAAGTAATTGATGCTGTATTACTTTGTGGTATGCCAGAGAAGCATATCTAATATGGAACTTTCAATACTATTCGTATTGTAGGAATAGGTGTTGACTGGACACCTCAAAAGGTAGCTAACCTTTATCTCCAGCTTATGCATCAATATAAACGCATACAAGCATTATCCAAGTTATTACGAAATAGATGTCATAACTAATATGGCAGTTATCAGTTGATTTCTTAGTAAAAGTCAGTCGCAGCCATCTTCCCTTTTAGATCGTGATGGATGTAAGCTGTGCAAATACAGCAAAATAAGGAGAGTTAAATATTTCTTCAAAGCTACATTAAAGACAGGTAACTACAGTCGAATCAGTCAAACGAGTACTGTTGATCCTCATCTAATTTCTTCGACCATATTTTGCAGGATAGGTCAATATCATGCAGAAACTAAGAAATAAACGAAGTATTAAATATGGTCATTATTTCGTTGCTGTTTTTTTTTGTGCGACCAAAGAGAGTAGAAAATATGAACACCTACAATCCTGGTTTATATACTATGGAATGATATGAAAGTGATGCCATAAAAGTCAGCTGCTTTTCTGTACGAACATGTGAAGACATTAATCGTATTGAAAATAAAACTCCCATATTCGTTTTAACAACTCCAGGTAGAATCTTGGTGAAGATATGGGGCGCTAAATTGTAATGCTTTACACAATCGCGCAAAAAATGTTTCGAATACTTCCATAATTCAAATTTTTTTTCAACTTCAGTTAACGTGTCAATACATAAAAGCCAATTGAACAAACCACAATTATCTCAAACAATCTCACGTACAAAGAAAATGAGCAGGAACTGATTAGTAGTTTATGAAATGAGGATACTTAGAATTTCAGACAATACATCTGCACTATGATATTATATTGCTCTAGGTGACTAGCAGAGGAATCCAAGACGCGCGTCTCGTCCGATTTGGGACTCGCCAGCTGGATTTACCTGCATCCCAGTGCGGTGTGATATTGTTTCCATGGGGGCTCGAGCCCAGTACCCTTCGCTTCAAATGCCCGAGCGTTATCCACTAAGCCACTGGGGCCATCTCTTGCGCGACGGGCATCAGTATCACCTGCAACACTGTTATCTACCCCCATTAAGCTGTGATACTGACGTTTGAATGAGTAAATGCAGTTCTATTGGCTATCTTTGTATTCACTTATAACTGCGCAGCTAGTCGGCTTGTTATTATATGTTTAAGACTTCGAATTTCAAACAGATGTTCTTCTTGGGCAATGAAGGATACGCTAATTAGGCGGAACTAACTGTGAGGAATTAATCAATACATTAACGTTCGGGTTTTACACTATAAACATTGGGAACAGAAAAAAGAACCTGATTTTATTTGCTACATTTGAACTATATATATATATATATACTACACAGTGTAGTCAATCATTTTTAAGAAGGATATAAAGTAATATACAGCCTTAATAGGATAGTTGTCATCACTTTTTTTCAAATATTAATACAACAACACAAAAATGTATGAAATGTAACATACCCCAGTGACAGAAATCAGATGAGATCACGAAGAAATTTTCAGGGTTCGAAAGGTATCGGGAAAAAATCTGACCATAAACCGCTTCTCTATCAGGAGTGAGATATCCTACTAGAATTGGCACGATAGTGAATCTGCCTTGATAGCTGGAATAAAAAGATGCTATATACAGGTTTTTTATATGAGTATGGGATTTCTATCTAAACTAAACAACAAGTTATAAACCAGACGAAACTGTTGTATGTGTTGGGGATGTCTGATCTCTAAAAAAACTAATTTACAATATGTAAGTATTTTCCTTGTAAAATTTAAACGTTATTTTCGCGCCTTTTTCGCTCCATGCAATGTTACTTATTCTTACCACAGTTTAAGATACTAAACAATGATTGATCCATTGTACAGTTTTAATCTGCTATTTCGTTTTCCTTGCTCAAGGCCGTTAAAAAAGTATGTAAACTACTGAACTTTCATCTATAATCGCATTATTCGGTTGAAGTAAATATAATTTCAATCCCAGTCTTTTTTTTCTGATGTCAGCTGAGTAGGATTGCATTGAGAAGTCATTGTTCTATCGTTAATCATTTCGCATCTGGGCATTATATCATTCATATATATACGTCAGATCAAAATAGTGTAGAGATTTAACTCTCCGACAAGTGGTCTGCATACACAGTATGCTGGGCCCTCACTAAGCATAATCAGCTACAATAAAGAAAGGTTCCCGGAAATCTATAACTAGGTGAATTCGAAACTGTATAGAAAAATCAGTCAACATCCATATTTTTATTATTTACTGATGTGCTTTTAATTCTCTGTCGTTTTATTGGATCATCCAACTGTTCCTATCTTTATTGACATATCAACGAATAGTAATAACTAATACTCATTTTACAAAAGGTGGTTATTGTGCCTTAATGGATGACATCTTGGCGTCTGATGTGATGGGTACGAAGTGGGAACAACATTAATCATTGCAGTGCAGGTACTTCCAGCTGTCGAGTCCCAAGTAGGATGAAATGCGTGTCCTGGATTGTTCTGCTAGCCACAACCAAGTAAATTAACATCCGTGTTTGTTGACTTATGTTTCTCTTCACCTTTTCCGACTAATTCTGAAGATCATGTGTAGGTATTCAGATTAGTGAATTATCAGTAACTTCATTCTCTTAACTCACAGTCACAACAACATTTATGTTTCATACGTCGTTTTACACTTATTTCACTATCAGTTTTGCATTATTCATTCATTCCCTATTCAATACGATTCAAGTCACACAAATCTAATAAAGACCTACTGATTTACACGAACAAATAATTAGGATGGAATTGAAGAATCCACTCGTTAACCTTTCAGTTAACAGCTTAGCATACGCTCATGGATGAAACTATCTGATACTTACTTTCTTTAAAAAAGACATCCTGTTCAACTACCTCTAATTGCCATGATAACAAACAATTTTGTTGTTATTAATGTCAGGCAAAAAAGCTTGTCAATGCATAAAGTATAGTTACAAACTGCTGTTTAACTTTCTGCTTTTCAAAGTATACTACTATATGACTGATAGTTCTTCAAAAGCTAGTTACACAATCGGTAAGAAAGTAGCCAACTTTAGTAGTTCTAACTTTAGTTGTTTTAGTGTACTTTGCACACATACACACACACACACTATGTATTTTATGTTATTAAATTGCGTGTGGTTTTTTTACTATAGCTGAAGTGGCGGGATGTGTCGACCACGTCACCTCACTTATTTGGGGAGTTGCATCAGCCCAAACCGGCTGATTGCTGATGAGATCTCAGCTCGGATACAGAAGCCAGGCGTGTGTAATCTATGGCGCCGACTGGCAAGCCATCCAACTACCTAGTAGAGAATAAGTATACTGCGCTGCAGTTTGTTATCCCTGTTATACAACCATGAGACATGGCCGTTAAAAGTAGAAATGAAGAGATCAGAATTTTCATCACAGGTGTCCTCGGAACATTGCTCACGTTTGGTGGATTCACTGCGTGAGTAATGTTGACGTCAGGCGAGTGGTACTAGACAAGACAGCCATGTTGACCAGTGAAGCTGTGAACCTTAGTCGACTGAGACGGCTTCGATATATATCGCGCATGTCGAGTCACCGCCTACTTCGACGTGCCATGCTAAGGAATGTTGGATTAGGTTGGAAGATGGTTAAGGATGGTCAAATCAAGACGTGGCACCAGTCGATGCAGTCTCTGACCGTTGGTCTCAGCTATACAGGGAGCTGTAGACTATTTGGCTGGCATCTTCATATGAATCAAGAGTTGCAGATTGTTGGTGACACAGGGCTGGAAATCGATGTTAACGGCACAGATGTATTCACTCATTGAAATCCTCCGAAACTTGAATATTCACACTAACCTCTACCTTCAAATTGTTTATTCCCTCACACAACCTTGTCCGCTTTGATAACACTCCTATTCTATCCACCTGTTTTGTATACTGCTTGAGCGGGTGCACTTGTGTGCGAGATTCCACGTTCATTTTGTCTGTCAACACACCTGAGTTTTCATAATGAAGTTAGCTTTTCCTAAATTACCACGGTTGTATTAAAACACTACTGTTTAAAGTAAAAAGTCACGTTATAGGTGTGATAAATGATAAAGCAAGATACGCATTAGTTGAGAATGTATTAAAAACAAGTGTTGTAATAAAGCGCTTACTACTCTCGTTGACCACGATGAATGTGAAGCGTTACATTTGACGAACATGACGTGAGATATGACAACATGAACATTACTGACAGTTTTAAATGTGATTTTTCAGGGTCACCAATACACCATCAAAGAAAGCTGAGTTACTTGGCTGAGAATAATGAAGAAACTGCAGGAATCTAAAATAACAATTCTACTCTCATTCCACACTAGCATTACACTTAACAGTCTCAGCACTTTTCTGTAACTGAGTTTTAGCCTGATACCTGCTGAATCCGTAGTTATGTGAAAAAGTATGAATTTCATGAATAACTAATAATTGGAATTCTAAGGAAACTATGTGAAATCGAGAATGTAACACCAACACTGGAGGGTGTCGAGAGCGATTAAGGCCCAAACATTAAAAAAAGAAAAGATCTAAGGATCGAAATCCACTCAGCAGTCTTCAACACATTGGCGCAGTAGGCGATGGGCCACACCTATTGTGTGAGGGTTAATGATACTACTAACCGGCTGTCAAAACCTCGGTAGGTAGAGGTGGAGTTCAAACCTCAGACTCATCGGTTGGTAATCAAGGGCCTAGATCAGTGAGCTACAGCTCCACTACAAAAACAAGGGGGTCACAGTCAATGTCCGGTGCCAGTTAAGAACATGAAATCAAAAGCGTCAAATCGATTTAAACAACGTCAACTGATTCACCCTTGTATTAAGCAAGGCACATAAGACACCGAATCAGACTATCAGTACCTATCGTGGAATTAGATATATGCACCTAAAAACACATAACGATCACAGTATATTGTAAGTAGACCGAAATAATCCTTAAACACTCTAGATCAACATCACATCAATATTCGCTGCTTCTTAGATGCGTATTTCAATGGATGAGATAAGATCATATGTGGTGGCTGTCACAAAAAGATGAGTTATACTGATAGCTTTTGATCTTGTCCTAAAGTACAGATTTCTTTCTTTTTATTGTATAATAAGTGGTACAACATGGACACCGGGATTCAGACAGACAAGGAAGCATTTAAGTTGCCACACTTCACAGTGGTATACAAAGACGGGTGGATAGAATAATAGTGATATGAAGGTGAACAAAGTTGTGTGAGAGATTAGGCAATCTGAAGATAAAGGTTAGTGCCAATATTGAAGCTTTGGAAGACATCAAAGAGTGAATGCTACTGCGACTGATTTTTAGCCATGTCATCAAGAGTTCGAAACCGCTTATGCCTCTTTCTTGGGAGAGCAACCAGGTAGTCTTCATGTTCCCACACGGCTCAGACCGGCAGTCAAGGACTTCATTGACTGGTGCTACGACTTGGTCTGACCACCGTCAACCCTCTTCCAACCTTATCCAGCTTCCCCTAGCCTGCCTTGTTGAGATAAGCGGTGACTCGGTATGCGCAAACAACAGGACTCACACTATAAAAAATAATGTAATGACACTGATGTATAAGTGAAACAAAGAGAGTAGAGAAGTAAAATGGAAATGGATAATTAACGATTGGCCTCAAAGGTATATTCGTAGAAGTATTGCACTACTTCTGTCTTACTTTTCGATAACAGAAAAAAAGGCTTGCAGCATGATTGCCAATGGTTCTGATTTCGATACATCTGATACTGTCCAAAGTTATGATGCATGATCTCCTGTGTCCTCATTTAGGGAGCTATGAGGCACCATCAGATAATAACCCAACATAACTACTCTTAATCTAAAGACGCCACATCATACACTGACCACCTTTCCTCCTCTTCTAACCAGTTCCGTTGGCACTCGATCCGTTAACGGCATTCGTATCGCATATCCAAGACATCGAGGTCAGTGTTTTAAAATGAATTCACTCGATGAGTGAAGGTCTCCTTCACACCCAAACACGTAGAGTGTCAATCCAAAATTATGTTCACGGTGTTTTCACAGGTTATCAACAGTCCTATCAAGAGGCCGGGTTTCACAGTCACTAAGCTAAACCGCCCTACTGAGGTGTTGTGCATCCGAACTTTTATAGTAAGGCTTAATTTACGACGGCGCCAAAAGTGAAGTAGATTGGCATACACCGCTTCCAATGTACGACTAGCAATTTCATTCCCCACACTTTCACCAACATTCACACAACTATCCAGACTACTTCTAACGGTTCATAGTCAAGAGTGAGTGCAGTTACAGGCTCCTATCGATCTTGTCAAACCACATAGTACCTTGATTATACCAAACACACCACACTTAAAGCGGACACTGACAGCAAACTGGTAAAAGACAATTTGAGTGATCCGTATACTGTCGCACAATAAAACGATATTGTCCGCATCCTCACAGTCTAAAAGTTCTTCACTAAGCTCCGGATCTACACCATTACCGCCTTTTGACCAGTCTCAAGAATATTACTTATCGTAAATTTTGGAAGGAATAACAAAACCCGAGAGAACTACCTAACTTCATTACTAGTTTTAAACAATGGAGAGTTG